AGAAATATCACCAATCCCATTACGCTTGTACGGATCAGACTTGGAAGAAAGTTGAAAATAAAACTTCCTTTCGTCTTTGTCATCACAGAGTCTTATGATCCCCGTTTTATGGGAACGGCCATGAGCAACGGACAGCTTTTCATTACCATCAACCTTGTCACACTCAATTAAACTTCTTTTTCTCTTGGAAAATGAAGTAGAGAATTCCTCTATAACCTCTTCTTTTATCTGCTTAGGAAATGTTAAATTCCTACCTACACCATCACTGTTTGAAACGCATGCCATTGCCTTCTCATCATCATTGTCGCTAATGAGAACAAAAATTAAAGACTCACTCTGTCAGGTACTGTATCCAAGTTATTCTTGGTGGAAGTTCCATTGCATGTCTAATAAAGTCATCAACCCCTTCGACTAGGATAATTCCTATTGTACATCCAAGTACGATGTTCCATCTATACAAATAAAACAAGAACAAATTAATTTAGTTAATTCATATCCTAATCTTTTTTTAGTTAATTAATTTCATATCCTAAAGGTTCAAGCATATCCTAAAAGTTCAATTCATACACAAAAATTTCAATTTATAAGCTAAAATTTCAATACATAAACTAAAAGTCCAATTCATATCCTAAAAGTTCAGTTCATATCGTAAAGGCTCAATTCATATCCTAAAGGTTCAAATCATACACAAAAATTTCAATTCATATCCTAAAGGTTCAATTCATATCCTAAAATTTCAATTCATATCCACAAAAGTTCAATTCATATCCTAAAATTCCAATACATAAACTAAAAGTCCAATTCATATCCTAAAGGTTCAATTCATATCCTAAATTTTAAATTCATACACAAAAAGTTCAATTCATATCCTAAAGGTTCAGTTCATATCGTAAAATTTCAATTCATATCCACAAAAGTTCAATTCATATCCTAAAATTTTAATTTATAAACTAAAATTCCAATACATAAGCTAAAAGTCCAATTCATATCCTAAAGGTAATTCATATCCTAAAGGCTCAATTCATATCCTAAAATTTTAATTCATACACAAAAATTTTAATTAATATCCTAAACCCTAAATTCTAACTAAACTATCAAGACAATACAAAGTATAATTCAAATCTAACTAAACTAAATTCAACACTAATTAAACTAATTAGTTAATAAAATTAATTAACAAAGCTAACTAAAACAAGACCTAAACCCTAATCCTCAATAAAATACAATGTTCAAAGAATTTAAACACTACTTCATATTCTTAAACTACAATATTGAAATAATTGAAACAAAAACTAGAAATAACAAAGATTCAAGGTTATAATTCAAACCTAGATTTTTTTTTTAGGTGGAGAAGGAGAGAAAGGGGCAGCGGCGGCTCCGGCGGTCACAGTGGTGGCGCGGGATTGTGGGGATTGATTGTGTGAGGGAAATAGAGAGGAGAGGGGAATGTGTTGAGAGAGAGTTGGAAAAATTTGGGAAGAAAAATAAGAGAATGGAGGGGGAAACCCGTTTTTGAGTCTGGATTTACAAAAGGCGACTAACGTTGGTCGCTATTTATAAAAAAATTAAATAAATTTTTTTTCTATTTTGGTTTTTAAATATTATAGCTAAAAAAAAATCTTATTAGCTATAAATATTTATTTTCCTAGCACTTCATGTTCTTTTATATATATATATATATATATATATATATAGAGCGAGAGAGAGAGAGAGAGAGAGAGAGAGAGAGAGAGAGAGAGAGAGAGAGAGAGAGAGAGAGAGAGAGAGAGAGAGAGAGACAAACACTTATATAGCATGTTATAGTATATGTTACTGTATTCATTATTTGTATTATAACAGAGTTAATGAATTACATTCATTCATCACTAGGTTATAAGTCGATGAATCAATTATAACATATTAATTGATATATGTCGAGACGTTTTGTTTTTAATATTCAAAGATGCATCTGAGTTGGTTATAAGTCGATGAATCAATTTACAAGTGTATCAATACCTAAAAGAACCCGGCCCTGTATTCCTAGCGCTTCATGTTCTTATATACATACATATATATATATATATACATACATATATATATATATATACATATATATATAATATATATATATATATATATATATATATATATATATATATATATATATACACACACACACATACACACTTCATTGTAATACTATAACGTATATATAACTTGTTATAGTATATGTTAGTGTGTGTATATATATAACACACACACTTCATGCTACTTTAACTACATATATAGCATGTTACAGTACATGATACTGTATTCATTATAAGTATTGTAACAGAGTTAATGAATCACATTCATTCATCACTAGGTTATAAGTCGATGAATCAATTTACATATATATGTAGTTAAAGTAGTACAACGAAGCGTGTTATATATATATATATATATATATAATATATATATATATATATATATATATATATATATATATAATATATATATATGTATATATATATAAAACACGCTTCGTTGTACTACTTTAACTACATATATAGCATGTTAGAGTATATTTTAGTGTATTCATCCCATGTATTACAAAAGTGTTAACGGATTACATTTATATTATTTAGATAGTAAGTACAAAAGTGATTTTAAATTTTGACCAATGTTGACCTGAAAAGAGACCAACTTTGGTCGCTAATTTTGAATTATATTATTTATATTTTATAATTTTTTTTAAATAATAATATAATTATTAAAATTTTATAGCTGGGTCCCACTTTAGCGATCAAAGTTGGTCGCTAATTTCAGTATTTCTTTGACCAAGCAAGTCTGACCAGTCCGGTCAACATTTTGACCACATTATCTACCAAATAGCGACCAACCTTGGTCGCTAATGTATTTAGAATAATTATTTAATTATTTTCTCCAATTTAGCGACCAACTTTGGTCGCTTTTCTTGACAGACCAATTTTGGTCGCCTTTTGATCGCTTTTTTCCGAATTTCTAGTAGTGCCGAAAAAGTTGAGTTCAAAGAAGCATATAGTCAAACGGCAATTATTAGTATCGCAGCTAATAGAAAGAAGATTATTGCGTATACTTAAAAACATTTTTATCATGCTTAATCAGCTTCTAAAATCGTTGTTAAAAATGTTGTCCTTCTGGAATCTTCTTCATTTTCCAGGTAAACGCCATCATTTGCTTATCTTGTCATTGAAATAAAAGAAAAAAGAAAAACTTATAAGTATAGTTAGACATTACGCGTTGTATCAGTCGAAATTCAAGTGGAATGTGAGGTTAAACAAAATAGTAGGAAGATAATTAACGACTAACTCCATAACAGTAGAGGTTTTTTTTTTTTTTTTTAATTTATTATGATGTTCATGTCAGCTTGTGCATACCTCAATTAGTTTTGCGGGGGGTCAATACGATCTGAGATGGATGCAACAAATGAGCATCAGAAAGCAACTTTTAGGAACTTCTTATCAACAAGTGATTTGTTGTATTTGAATCATATATGCTATGTTACTATTAGTGGCGACAAACGGGCAGGTTGAGTCTAATATGGACGGTTAACAACGGGTAATGTAAGAAACGTATAAATTATCTGATCCGATCCATATTAATACATATAGAAAATGAATAAAAATCGGCGGATATATAATATAGATATCCATATTATCCATGACTTCTTGAATATGATCATATTTGGGAGAATTTCTAATTTTCTAAACTTAAGGAACCCGCCCCTAATTTGAGTCTTTGCAAATATGAAAGTTAAATCATTGGTTATCCATTGATTATCTATTAGTTATCTATTTTTTAAGTGGATAATATGGATCTTATCCATATTTGACTATTTTTAGAAAGTTCATTATCCAACTCATTTTTAATAGATAATCTTAATGGAAGTCTGAATCTTAATCATTCAGATCTCAGACATTAAGTGCGTTTGTTTTTAAAGGTTGAATCTTAATTATTCAGATCTTAATCATTAAGTGTGTTTGTTTTTTTTACTTCACAACCACTTAATGGATCTGAATAGGTCTGTATGATCAAGATCTATAATAGAGACTTAATTTCATTAAGATGCTATCACATATTCATTATTAATTGCCACCACCGCCTACCATTTTCAACTACCACCATGCCACCACCACCAACATACTCAACCACCACCACCACCGACCACCACTACCACCACGCCACCATCATCCTCAATCATAGCCTCCATTATCGACTATCCCCACCACTCCGACCACCATCATTCTGACCCACAATCAACACTCATCCGCCTTAACTACCACAACTGCCCACCCCATTACCATCAACAACTACAGAGGACACTGCCTATCATTATAACCTACCACCACCCACCCACCACCTTCCTCAATCACAACTACTACCACCACCCGACATTATTAACTATCACCACCCACCACCATCATCCTCAATCATAATCGCCACCACTACCAATCACTACTAGCTATTAGCATGAACCACCATCATCAACCAAAACTACCACCAACCACCGCCTCTAGTCGGCATTCACCCGTTAGCCATCACCACCAACAACTATCGTATTTTTAAAAACTATACATTTTATTAATAAAATATTAGATTAGTTAGTATTTCATTTGAATTTTACATATATTAATTTTCAAATAAAGATAAATTTTATACATTCAGATGTTAAAAATCAAACCGTCTTAATTATTTTTGTTCAGAACTTAATACACATCTTAATATATTCAGATGTGTATTCAGATTCAGACGTCTTAATATTAAAAAAAACAAATGAGGCCTAAATGTCTTTTTTTGCTCATTTTACCACCACTAATTACGATCACCCGAATTCCCTAGGTCGAGAAATAATAGCACGAGGAAAAGGCCAAATTAAGTGAATTCTCGTAACGGGTTGAATGTTAATTAACTTGTGCCTTTGTAGCTTAAGAATACAAAGATTCATAACATTACCAAAAATAATAAATCCCATAGAAGAGTAAAGAGTTTGCATATAAATATGATTCATAAAAATATCCCATTAGACACTCGAAAGTGGAATAAATATGAGGAATAAAATAATACAAAATTTGCAATTGAACAATAAATTTCATTTGATTCTTGAAACGAAAATACGACATCAAATAGAAAAATATAATACAAGAGTGAATCATCTTTAATTACAGAGAGAGAGAAAGAGAGCCAGAGAGAACATAAAGTACGTAGAACATTTTCTCCTCCTTTTTCACTGGCTTAATATTTCTGATTGTTTCATTCAACCACTGGACATCACCACCTCTGCCACTGATTCATCTGAAGACTGAAAATTGCAAAAACATGTATCAATCTCTCACGACCACACGATTAAGAAATTAAAACATCACCAGTAAATAATATTAAAATATATTTTTGAATTTTTTAATTTAAATTATTGACTATTAAATTAAAGTGACGCTGATTGAAAAAAATGAATGACCGCCGATATAAAAATGTGGTCTAGTGGACAATAAAATGAGATTAAATCATAGAAGATCATAGTCCAAATTTCGTCAAGAAAAAAAATAAATAAACGTACCTTTCATCATTAAATTGTCGGAGGCTATTTGCTCACAATGTTTAAATCAAATCAAGTAGTGCAGTTACAAAATTAATTGCAAGTATCTGTATTTGCTCTCAATGTTGTATATATATATATATATATATATAAAATAGGTTATATACTAAACTTACATAAATTTTATATACTTTTTCAAACGAAAAATTAAAAAAAATCGATATTTTATGAGATAATCGAGATGTCCACAAATTGACTGAACGAAATAAAAAGATTTTGTAATTACCGTTATATTTCAGCTCGTTGAGAGGGGCTCCTCCAAAACCCAGCACCATAAAACTTGTCCCACATTTCCTTCTCCAATTCCAGCGCATCCTTATCAGATTCTAGGTTTCCGCCGCCGACCACCGCAATAGGGCTAGAAATAGGATAACTATGAATTAGCTCCATTTCATCACAGCCACTGTGTCCTTTCGACGGCAAAAGTCCTTTTTTCGACAACCGATTTCTACGTTTTTTCCTCAATGCCTTACGACAAAGTCCAGCAGGTACTTTATATACAGCCAAAACCAACAAATTCACAATTCCACATGGACAACAACAAGCCACCGCCGCACATCCCGCCGTTGCACCTCCGGCAACCTCCGCTAACCGAGCCTTTCGAACACCCACACCGCCGCGTGATGACGAGCAATCTTGAGTGCATAAAAGAGGTTGTCTTTTGTCTAATGATAATAATGGTGGTGACCGTATAATAATTGGTCTCGTCATATCATGCACTAAAATTGAAGAAGAAGAAGAGATTTTAATTTTCTCAATTTTTTGTACAACTTTTTGAGTTGTAACGAATTGAGATGATTTCAAAAGGCAGAGGTTTCGGAGGGGGAAACAAGTTTTTTTTTTTGGATCTAAGGGAAATATGCCCCCTCTCCGAAATGGTTGGAGATTTTTTTGACTAAAGAGAGGGGAATATAATGAGTTTTTTTTTTAAGATTGGTGAATTTTGGGTTATAAAAAGATTTATTGGTGCTTATCTGTTTTGCTATTTGTTTTTCTTTGGTTTTGATTGATCCAAGAAAATATACTAATGGTTTAGGTGTTTGAGGTATGATAATATAGTGGAAGGGAGAAAAACAAGGTTTGTCCTATAGGGGTCCGAGGAAGTAGGGATGAGTTTTAAAGAAGATATTATCGTTTGTTTGGTACGAGGGATAAGAGATAACTAATTTCAAAATTAAATTTGAGGTAAGTTTATCCTAAATTTGATTGGAACAAAATCTTCGTAAAACTAATCTCGTGGCTAGTTATCCCGGGATTATATTGTTTTTTATTTCTATGGAGGGGGAGGAGGGTGACTAATCTGTAATAATCAATCACAGGACAACTTGTTTCTCAATCAAACGACCCCTAAGGAGTACTTTTTGGCTTAAATTTAAGGGGGAATACTTTTTTTTTTGCATGAATATAAAACTAATAATTAAACCTGTTTTGAAAATACTTTTTTAAAATTTATTGATTTTATCTCAAATGAAATAGGGGCAAAGTCTGTGTTTACCTTATATTTTTCGGATTTTATTTACGAGATTACACTAAATATGTTATTGTTGTTATTGAATAGACATTAATAAGTAGGAAGTACGATAAGTTTTATTGCAAAATATGTAGGCCCTTAAATTGCGAGTGTGAGTTGAGGTTAGGGGGACAAGGATACGTGTGGGAGTTAAATAGGAGTGATAGAGGTAGGACAAGATAAAGGTATATTTTAATATTATACAATAGGGGACATAATTAAGATCGTGAACTAAAATTTGGATTTTGGCTTTCTTTTTTGGTTGTTGTTGGTATATCTAGGATATTGGCTAACTTTATGTTAGTGCCCTCCCGCTCTCCTCTTTCTCTCTCTAAAAAGTTTGAGGGTTAGGCATAAATAAAGGAGGAAAAATAATTATTCGCGCACAATATTTAGATCAAATCGCAATTATAAAATTAAATAGAAAGGTAAGTTAAAAAAAGTTATGCATAGCAAATGTCTTATATTTATTTGTTTGATGTATATGCCAGGTGTAGATAAATTTGTATTAAAAAAAAATTCATAAATATAGTCCTATTGTTTAAAGTTAGAGAAAGAGTTTAATTTTAAAACAAAGTTGAAAGGGGAAATAATTAACGCCCTATTCCATAAAAATGAAAAGTACCGATGCTGAATGTTAATATAATTTAGAATGATAGGGTCATAATTCTGAATATCTCAAAAGTTTGAAAATCACTTGAAAATATTAACTCAGATGAGTTGTTTTTCTTCCTCTCTCTGGGAAGATGAGTTTTATATTTCATGCAAAAAATGAATAATACATTGTTTCCTTACTTAAAAATATTAGGGGAATTAAATAGAAGTTATTTACTTTAAACATTATTTTTTTTAATTTTTTTTACAGAAACTGTTAAAATCCAAACTTGTTTTAAGAAGATTTCTACAATTTAATTCGTTTACAAACAAGATCAGATAATGGATTCGAAAAGTTGTTGCCATCTTAATAATAATGAACAATGATTAATTTCTGTTAGTTGAGTTCAACTGGAGCATAATGTGGACCGGTGAAGAAAACAAAATTAAAAAAGTGATTAATAGATTAAGAGGTCTGTAGTACTATAAATTTTTTGCCAATGGAAAAAGGAAAAGGTAAAACTTATCCTAATGATGATGATAATGCTAGTTTATGAGTTTATCCATCTGAAAAATACTTGCATACTAAATTCTTGATGAATTCTCACCGATATTAGAAATAATTCTAGCTTATAGTTTAGATGCTAAATTCACATTGGCCTTTCTCTTTTCCCCTTGTTTTTCGGGGAATTACTTTCTATTGCTGAAAGTAAGTACAGACATAAAAAAGAACAGGAAGAAGGCTCTCTTTGTACGGTCAAAATCGGGCTTGTCTTAGAATGAGGCAAGCCAAGGTTCGATCCCATGTTATACCGGACCATGATATAAAGTTAGATTGTCGAGCTTGAGATTCAGAGACCGAACGAGATCGAGGTTGGCCAAGATTGAAACCAGACAGGATAGAGATCGAGCAAGATAGAGGGAAGTTTACCGAGCCAAATAACGGAAAGCCGAAATGTCCGCAATCGGGCAAGGATCACGGTGTAAATCTCGGCACGTATCAAGAAGAGGCCGATTAATTAGCTAATCATGGGATTTCTTACTGTATTTAGAATTTTATCAAAGGTAGGACTCCCCTACTATATAAAGGGGGTCTGATCATTTGTAAAAAAAAAATCATATTCACGCAATACAAAGCAATATACTACCTTTCTCTTAAACTTTCAATACTCTTTTGCTCTGTTCATAATTTCCAGTAGAATATTAGTTTGGTTCGAGGGCGACCTAGCTCGAGGGCCAAAGCTATACGTTTATTTCGGTTTGGTTTTATTTATATTCGAATTCAATTTCAATATCAATTTACATATTTTCTTAGTTTGTGCAAAGTAAAACCACGTGTCCGTAAAACCACGTATAAATTCAATTGTTATCTTTTTATAGGGTAAACAGTTTGGCGCCCACCGTGGGGCTAAGAATAATAGTGGTTGCCTGGTACAGACTTTCGTAACACACATTATTTTAGACTTGTTCTTTGAGGTATCTTTGATTACAGGATTAAAAAATGTCAAACTCTCAGTCAGCACCTCAACACATTGACGATGATCTCAACCACCACGGCGAAAATGAGAACACTACACCAGGAAACGTTGTACCCCCTGCTAACCTTGATGGAATTTCGGCTGTAGATCCGATCGACGTCAGTTCGCATGTAGCCATCAATGGAAATTTGGCCGTCGATCCCGAAAGCAGTGTTCGCAGGGGAACCCGATCAGCTATTCAGAACACACATGGCAGTGAAGATGGCGAGATCAGCCTGCGGGTGATCTTCGAAATGTTGCAAGCCCAACAGGCAACAATAGCCCACCTCCAAAATCAGAACCACACACCAAGCAGGGTCGAACTCGAGCCATCACAAGAAGTCATACACAGGGTCGAATCAGCCTCGAGGAAATCGAATGAGAAGGAATCGGAGACCAATCCTTCTATGATAAAGATGTTCGAAGAATTGACAAAGCGAACCGAGACATGGGAAAAGAAGATCGAGGAAAACAATAAGAAGGTGGAAACCTATAACTCCAGGGTCGACCGAATTCCGGGGGCACCACCGATATTGAAAGGACTAGATTCCAAAAAGTTTGTACAAAAGCCTCCCCCCCCCCCCCCCAAGCGCGACTCCGAAGCAAATTCCCAAGAAGTTCCGTATGCCCGAGATTCCTAAATATAACGCAACGACTGATCCAAACGAACACGTCACCTCATACACGTGTGCTATCAAAGGAAATGACTTGGAAGATGACGAGATTGATTCCGTCTTGATGTAGAAATTCGGGGAGACTCTATCGAAGGGTGTTATGATATGGTATCATAATTTACCGCCTAATTTTATTGACTCGTTTGCTATGCTTGCAGATTCTTTTGTAAAGGCACACGCCGAGGCCATCAAGGTCGCAACCGGGGAGTCGGACCTTTTCAAGGTAAGGCAGAAGGACAACAAGATGCTCAAGGAATTCGTATCTCGATTCCAAATGGAACGGATGGATGTGCCACCGGTCACCGATGATTGGGCTGTTCAAGCTTTTACTCAAGGTCTCAACGTTCGAAGTACAGTAGCTTCAAAATAGTTGAAATAGAATTTGATCGAATATCCAACTGTCACTTGGGCCGATGTGCCTAATCGGTATCAGTCGAAGATCAGGGTCGAGGATGATCAACTGAGAGCTTCTTCTGGGTCTGTTTATCCTACCAGACCTGTAGATAGAATCAAGAGAGATATCGACCGAGAACCAAGGTCGAATAGAGGTCGATATCAACCGTATAATGGAGACCGTAGAGGCAACGGATCTGGTCAAAATCCTGCACGAAATGAGAGGAGAAATGATCGAGGTCAAAGTTCACAGGGACTTATGAGTAAAAACGGCTTCGACAGACCTATCGGTCCCAAAGAAGCACCATGATTGTCGGAGTACAACTTTAATGTGGACACAACTGCCATTGTATCGGTCATTGACGCATCAAAGATACCAAGTGGGCTCGACCTTTGCAAACTGATCCAGCACAAAGGATCCCAACCAAATATGCAAATATCATGGCACACATGGCCACAGGACGGAGGATTGTCGGCAGCTAAGGGAGGAAGTAGCCTGTTTGTTAAACAATGGTCATCTTCAAGAATTTCTGAGTGACCGAGCTAAGAACCACTTCAGAAACAGAGATTCGAACAAACAAAACGGACAAGACGAACCCCAGCATGTCATCCATATAATCATTTAAGGGGTCGATATTCCCCAAGGTCCGATGATGAAACGCACCAAGGTGTCAATCACAAGAGAAAAACGGACCCGAGACTACTTACTAAGGGGGACTCTATCTTTCAACGACGAGGACGCTGAAGGAATCATTCAACCTCATAATGACGCACTGGTAATCTCTGTACTTATGAATAAAACTAGAGTTAAATGTGTGCTAATTGATCTAGGTAGCTCGGCCAATAACGATCGAGGGTTGTAGAACAACTCAGCCTGCAAGACCAGATCGTACCATCGGCTCGAGTACTAAATGGATTCAACATGGGTTGCGAAACAACTAAGGAAGAAATAACATTGCCGGTGAACGTTGAGGGTACCATCCAAGAAACCAAGTTCTATGTAACCGAAGGGGACATGCGATACAACGCCCTGTTCGGGAGACCATGGATCTACAGCATAAGGGCTGTGACTTCGACCCTCCACCAGGTATTAAAAGTTCCAACACCGGATGGGATAAAGACGGTTTACGGGGAACAACCCGCTGCGAAGGAGATGTTTGCAGTCGATGAAGTAATTTCGACATCAACACTCTCATCGACAAAGGACTCAAGTTGGAAGCGAAACAGGGAGTCAAATAGCAATTATCGATGCCAGCTTCGACCCAATCGAACAAGCAAAGGGTTAACGAAGATGATGACTTCGGGGTTCCTCGATCTTTTA